GAGACATTTCAAGTGTCCTCATTACGGAGGTCCCACCTGCTGGCGAATACCAATTTAGTGATGTTTCAAATGGTGCATCTAGGTCTCTATTTGAGATACTATGGATGTATAAATCCAAAAAAAAGAAAAAAAGCCAAAAAGTGCAGAACCACGTTTTTGGGGGAGGGACTGGTGGGAAGGTGGCCTGCATAGATCTGAAAACAATTCTGCTGATATGGGATCTCAGGACAGGGCAGAGAGTTCAGAAGCCTGTGGTGAGCAGAGGAGGACGAGGCAGGAGAAGCCTGCCTTCACTTCGACTTCACCCTGGTCCAGTGAGAAGGTCAGAGGGTTGTGTGCAGGCTCCCAGACTCAGGTTAGAAATGTAGGCAGGGCCAGGCCCACACCCAGGGGGCTCCTCCCCTCCAAGAGCCCCAAATCCCTCCCTGAGAGGTCCTTCCCAGGGCCTTAACCCAGCTCTCAGACCCCAGCCACCCTCTTTCTTTCAAAGCAGACCCTCTGCAGCGCCTTGTCGTGGTCGTCACCCCTAACCCCTCCAAGCTCCACCGGCCTCCACTCCCACTGTGCCCTGAAATGCCTTCCTTCGGTGGCACCAATGCCCCTATATCATGACACCCAGTACACACTTTTCAGTCCCAAGTTTGGCTTTAGAAGATTTACCCACAAATATTCCACATTAAACAAATGAGATTAAGTCCCTTTTCTGTTGATAAAGGGCAGTGGGGACCAACCTTGCACCCTGACCAGTGAGCAGACCTCCAACAGGGCAGAAGGAACACAGATGAGCAAAAACATTGGCGAGCAACAGTGCTGTGGTTCCCTCTGGGGGAGGGGGGTGTCTGGAATGCTCTCTCCGAGGCAGGCTTGCTTAATCCTACTCTGTTGGAGCCAACACTGAAAGTGGTTTAAGCGTTGCCTCTGGGGGAGATCAGATCTAAGATTCGAGACATGAGTCCTTAGATCTGTAAGGATGGCAAAGCTGTCTTTGACCTGTTGAGTCTCCTTTCTTGGGTGTCTATCCCCGTTGGATTGTGTGCTTCTTGGACTACACGCACCAGAGCCAGAGTCTCAGGCCTCAGCACCTCTTGCCCCCACATGCCTGGTGTCCTCTGACACAGAAAGGGCCTCCCGGGCAGGGCCCCTGTTCCTTCTGAAGCAGAAGGCCCTGTCTACCTCCTGGACCTTGAGAAGTGGGTTGGGGTTTTTGTTGTTGTTGTTTTATTTTGTTTACCCCAAGAGCTGGACAAAACCAAACCAAGAGCATCTATTTTACTCCCAAGAAAGAGTTCACTAAGCCAGAAATGGAGCCAGGGAGGGAGACGTTTTGGGAACCAGTAGATCACTGTACGGTGATGCCAGCAGATCCTTCATTTCCACGGAGGAATAGAATTGTGCGGTGGAAGGGCTTTGCCAGCTCCGACACACCTTGCACGTTGTGGAGAAAGACTGTTCTTTCACTGAGTGACTCCAGAGGCCATGCCCTCCTCTGCCCTGCCACTTCTTTAAAATTCCTTAAAGGAGGCGCTCCAGAGGGAAGCAGGGCCTTCCTGCCTTCCTGCCCTCCGGGTCAGCTCAAGCCGCCCGCCCCTCCCCTCCGTTCCAGCTGCCCTCCTGCCTGAGTCACAAGTTGCTCCTCCGCCTGGGTTCCTCTCCAGGAAGCCTGGGTCAGGGCACCCTCTCATCCACAGCATTTAGGGGTGTCAGAAGTGGATGGTGGTGTGAGAATAGGAAGTACAGGAATTAATGGATATGCACGCGCGCACGCACACACACACACACAGGCGTCCCGAGCAGGACCTGCTAAAACCCACGCAGGACCTTGCTCTTCTGTGGAGGCACAGGCTGGTGGAGAGGGAATGGGAGGCCCATGCTGTTCCCACCGCTCCTGTCACCCACAGCTAACACTTCATAATCCCTAAGATCCTATAGGGTTTTAGGAAAACAACCGTTCCCCTGCTGCCACCTGGTGGTCACGTCTGGAACTTCCTCTAAGGGTCTGAGGCTAAGGAACCGCTTCTCACTGAGTCCATCAACTTCCTTCGTCTGTCTTGGCCACAGCTTCATTTTATTTTTTTCTAAGGATTTTATTTATTTATTCATGAGAGACACAGAGAGGGAGGCAGAGATACAGGCAGAGGGGGAAGCAGTCTCCCCGCGGGGAGCCCGATGCGGGGCTCGATGCGGGGACCCCGGGATCACGACCTGAGCCCAGGCAGATGCTCCACCCACCAGCAGCCTGCGGCCCTGGCCCTGGATGAAAGTGTGAGGTCGGGGCCATCTGTCCTCCTCCCAGGGTCTCTCTGAACCCCTCACTACGTCTCATGACTCCTGTTTTGGAGAGGGATGGTAAATGAAGGAACGAGAAAATTCGAGCGCCGTGGGGAAGAGGAGGAGGGCGGCGTGTCAGCGAGGAGCCCAGCGTCCAGGGGTGGGCTCCCCGGCATCGGAGTCGGGACACGGGCCGAAAGCCGCGGTCCCCCGCAGCTCAGATGTTGAGGCGCGACGGTGCTGGGAGGGCGCCGGGGAGATGAGGCCGCCGGGGAGGGCCCCCAGAGGACCCGAGACCTGTGGCTGTCACATTCCCGCCTGCTGGAGTCAACAGGTGATTGCAGGTACCTTAGAGGGAATGCAAGCTCTTTATCCATGAATGGGGAAGAAGCAGTGGTCTATGGATACAATGGAATATTCCTCAGCCGTTAGAAACGACCAATACCCACCCTTTGCTTCAACGTGGATGGACTGGAGGGTATTATGCTGAGTGAAGTAAGTCAATCGGAGAAGGACAAACATTGTATGTTCTCATTCATTTGGGGAATATGAATAATAGTGAAAGGGAATAGAAGGGAAGGGAGAAGAAGTGGGTAGGAAATATCAGAAAGGGAGACAGAACATGAAGACTCCTAACTCTGGGAAACGAACTAAGGGTGGTGGAGGGGGAGGAGGGCGGGGGTGGGGGTGACTGGGTGGTGGGCACTGAGGGGGGCACTTGACGGGATGAGCACTGCGTGTTACTCTGCATGTTGGCACACTGAGCACCAATAAAAAATAAATTTATTTTTTTAAAAAAAGGAATGCAAGCTCTTTCCGAGGGCTGCCGGGCTCTGCTGCCCCCCCACCGCCCCCCACCCCCCCCCCACCCCCCCCCCCCGGCGACGCCTCCCGCGCGCAGACCCTGCCTGCCTGCCCGGGTCCCAGGCCCTCCAGCCCGTGGCGGGTAGCGTGCCCCGAGCCCCGTGGGGCGGGGGGGGGGGGTTACGGGGACTGCTCTGCACCCGGGAGTCACGCGCCTCCGCAAACGGGGACAGATGCTGCCCTGGCATCGTTCTGCAGGGCTGCTGCCGGTCCGTCCCTCGTCCAGGCCCTCAGACCTCGGCACCGGGTGAAAACCGGGGCCACCGCGAGCCGGACGGGTCGTCGCTGGGATGTGCGGGGCCCCGGTTCTCTCGGAGCAGGGCTGCGCCAGGGCGCGGGGCTCCGTCTCGTGGCCACCAGCACATCTGCGTCAGGGGTCCTCGGCAAGAGGCGGGGTTGCCCCCAGGACACATGGGGAGACGACTGGAGACACTCTGGGTTCTCACAACGGGGGGTGGCCGTGGGGGTGCCGCTAGCACCTGCTGGGGAGACGTCGGGACAGTGCACAGGCCAGCACGCACAGCACGGAGCGGCCGGCCCAAGGGCTTCGGCCCAGCACCCACCTTGGCTGGCATGTTTTTGTTCCTTTAAGGTTTCATTTACTCGGGCAGCCCGGGTGGCGCAGCGGTTTAGCGCCGCCTTCAGCCCAGGCCGTGATCCTGGGGACCCGTGATCCTGGGGACCCGGGATCGAGTCCCACGTCGGGCTCCCTGCATGGAGCCTGCTTCTCCCGCTGCCTGTGTGTCTGCCTCTGTCTGTGTGAATATTTTTTTTAATCTTTAGAATAAAAAGATTTCATATATTCATGAGAGACACAGAGGGAGGCAGAGACACAGGAGGGGAGAGAAGCAGACTCCCCGCGGGGAGTCCCATGCGGGACTCAATCCCAGAACCTTTTTTTTTTTTCAGTCTTCAAATATTTTTTATTGGATGGCCACGCGTTGCCTTCATTTATTCTATTTCAAATCACTGTACATTTACTTTTGTGAAAACACTGCCTGCATTTTCTAATACAAAAAAAAAAAAAAAAACAACCCTAAAAGTTGTTTCAGGAATGTAGAGAAATATCCAACGTAAACAGCGAAAAAGTGCACCATAATTACTGCTGCACTGCAGTCATTTCTGCACTTTCCATGTTTCTTAAATGACTATCTTGTCTGATAACACACAATATAAAGAGCAATTATGAAAAACAGACATTTACACATACTTCGAAAGTCTTACTGAGAATATCCTGTTGGCTTGGGAACCAATCACAGGCGCAGCCGCAGGGGTTCATGCCACCGAGCATATTGGGAACGTTGCTTCCATGCTGCTGAGGGCTGGCATCAGGCCTGGGCCCAAGGCAGGCGCTCGCCCCCCGAGCCGCCCGGGCCCCGCTGGCCGGGACCTACCCCCCCCCCTCGCCTCCGCAGGGCCCCCAGGACAGGGCCCGGGCCATACTACGCTGTCCCCTTGGAGGGAAGCCCCTACACGGGCGGTTGACCGCACGCAGGTGGCCTCCGATGGCGGAGGGAAGAGGAGGTGCCTGCCGGCCCCTGCGCACCTGGCCTCCCTCCTCTGGCTCCTTTGTTGGCCCCTTCCTGATTGTTTTGACACGAGCGCCCCTGTTTTGATGGGGTTGGAGGGGAGCGAGCAGGCCGCGGCGGGGCCCCAGCTGTCCCCGGGCTCGCCCCCCGGTCGCGGTCGCCGGCCTGGGAGCAGCCAGGTGAGTCACTGCGGGGCGCGAGCTCCCGCGGAGGCCGAGGGCGCCGGGGCCGCGCTACCCGCCAGGGCCAGCAGGTGGCACTGCGGCCCCGGCCCGGCTCGGCGGCCTGGGGAAGACCCGAGAGGCGCCCGTGCGTCTGCGGCCCCGCCCCGCAGCCCCGCGGGGGTGTGAGCCGCTCTCCTGAGCCAGGTGTGGCTGCGAGGGGGGGCAGTTGGCCCGAGGAGACCCCCTCAGCAGCAGGGCACTGAGCAGTGGCGGCCGGGGGCCTCCGGGCCGGGGCCCGGGCGGGGCGGAGAGCAAGGCGGCGGGTGCCCCAGGAGCCTCAGGGGAGGGGGGGACCTGCGTGCGTCCGAGCCCCCCTCCCCACCCCCCGGCAGCTTCGGAGGCCCGCGGCCAGTTCTGAGGCACCCTCAGCTCTTTCCTTGAATACTCGGGGGGGGGTGCCCCTGTGCAGACATGCTGCATCCCAGCAAGCTCCAAGCGCCCCAGGGCCCCGCCCGCGGGGGTGTCCACTCTGCAAGATCGCACGCGTGAGCTACAGGCAGGACCCGCAGAGACCGTGTTCCCTGACAAGTGAGGGGTCGTCTAGAAGAGAAGGTCACCTCTTCCCAGGGTGACCTTGAGATCCCTCACAAATGCTGTGGGAACCCCAAGACACAGGAACTGCTCCTTGGAGAAGGCTGGTGAGAAAATCCTCGCGGGGGAGCCGGCCTGCGAGCCGAGTGTGGGTGGGTGGGCAGGAGGAAAGGAGCAAAGAAACGGATGGCGCGTCTGGTGCTACGTGGGTGGCCGCCAGGTGCCACCTTGGGGGGGCCCGTATGGGGAGCAGCCTGTGGCCTGAAGGGGAGACTGGCTCCTGGGCGCTGTGCTCAGAGGTTTTCTCTAATAACGAGTCCATCTCGACCAGCCTCTAATTACTCTGGCGCTTTGCCCCTAGAGGAGGCCCTGGCCACACCACAGCCACCTGACATCACCCTTGGGACTTTAAGAGTGTGACTGCCCCACTGCTGACCTGCCCCAAGGGCACTAAACCTGCAATGCCAGCAGTTCTACTGTGTCCCTCCTGGGAGACAATTTGGCAATGGTGTGAGGTCCTGGGGGGGAACTCAGTGATGTCCTCAGAGAACTCAAAGTCTGGCAGGAAACGCAAAACAACAAATAGACCCAAACCACCGTGTAGGGCCGAGGTTGGGGTGGGCGGGAGCGTGGAGCAGGATGGCCCTCGCTCACCTCACCAGGGGGAGAAAGAAAAGAGAAGCAAGGCAAGGAAAAACTATATTTGGCTGGGCTGGTGCCTTAGGGAGGGAGCAGAGGCGACGTCATAAAGGTAGGGTGGAGTCGTATTAAGAAAGGGCTTGCAGGGGGATCCCTGGGTGGCGCAGCGGTTTAGCGCCTGCCCTTGGCCCAGGGCGCGATCCTGGAGACTCGGGATCGAGTCCCACGTCGGGCTCCCGGTGCATGGAGCCTGCTTCTCCCTCTGCCTCTCTCTCTCTCTCTCTCTCTCTCTCTCTCTCTCTCTGTGACTATCATAAATAAAAATTAAAAAAAAAAGAAAGGGCTTGCATACCGAGCAACAGAATTAGTCATGTTCTATGTAGGCAAAAGGAGAGTGTTCATGGATTTTAAACAAGAAACTGGTGCAGTTGGCATCTTTGAAAACATTTTGGAAATGCGGTGGGGATGGGTGAAAGCAGGTGGAGGCTCACAAGTGTGAATTGTGGCAGGATGACAACACGGAGGACAGACCATAGAAATTAATAGGAAGAAGGACTCCATCGGTGCCTAATCGGATGTGTGGGGACCGTTCCCATGTGGCCCCGAGTCTCCGTTCTCCTACCCTGTCATTCCACCTCTGCTTTCTGCAAAATTAAATTACCCTGCTCACCCGTGAATGATATTCAGGAAAGTCTCTGAATCCCATCGACATTATGCACCAAGCACATTTTCCTCATTCTGTTGCCATAGCAATACCAGGTGCTTCTGGCAAGATGGTGGCACTGAGAAAAATTGACAATATTTTAAAAAAACAAGACGCTTTTTTTTCTAAACGGTAGACCAAGGTTTTTTTTAATAAATTAATTTTTATTGGTGTTCAATTTACCAACATACAGAATAACACCCAGTGCTCATCCCGTCAAGCGCCCCCCTCAGTGCCCGTCACCCATTCACCCCCACCCCCGCCCTCCTCCCCTTCCATCACCCCTAGTTCGTTTCCCAGAGTTAGGAGTCTTTATGTTCTGTGTCCCTTTCTGATATTTCCCACACATTTCTTCTCCCTTCCCTTATATTCCCTTTCACTATTATTCATATTCCCCAAATGAATGAGAACATACACTGTTTGTCCTTCTCCGATTGACTTACTTCACTCAGCATAATACCCTCCAGTTCCATCCACATTGAAGCAAATGGTGAGTATTTGTCGTTTCTAATGGCTGAGGAATATTCCATTGTATACATAGACCACAGCTTCTTTATCCATTCATCTTTCGATGGACACCGAGGCTCCTTCCACAGTTTGGCTATTGTGGACATGGCTGCTAGAAACATCGGGGTGCAGGTGTCCATGCTCATGGATTGGCAGAATTAATATTGTGAAAATGTCAATGTTACCCAGGGCAATATACACGTTTAATGCAATCCCTATCAAAATACCACGGACTTTCTTCAGAGACTTAGAACAAATTATTTTAGGATTTGTGTGGAATCAGAAAAGACCCCGAATAGCCAGAGGAATTTTAAAAAAGAAAACCATATCTGGGGGCATCACAATGCCAGGTTTCAGGTTGTACTACAAAGCTGTGGTCATCGAGACAGTGTGGTACTGGCACAAAAACAGACACATAGATCGATGGAACAGAATAGAGAACCCAGAAGTGGACCCTGAACTTTATGGTCAACTAATATTCGATAAAGGAGGAAAGACTATCCACTGGAAGAAAGTCTCTTCAATAAATGGTGCTGGGAAAATTGGACATCCACATGCAGAGGAATGAAACTGGACCACTCTCTTGTACCAGACACAAAGATAAACTCAAAATGGATGAAGGATCTAAATGTGAGACAAGATTCCATCAAAATCCTGGAGGAGAACACAGGCAACACCCTTTTTGAACTTGGCCACAGTAACTTCTTGCAAGATACATCCACGAAAGCAAAAGAAACAAAAGCAAAAATGAACTATTGGGACTTCATCAAGATAAGAAGCTTTTGCACAGCAAAGGATACCGTCAACAAAACTAAAAGACAACCTACAAAATGGGAGAAGATATTTGCAAATAACATATCAGATAAAGGGCTAGTTTCCAAAATCTATCAATAACTTATTAAACTCAACAGCAAAGAAACAAACAATCCAATCATGAAATGGGCAAAAGACATGAAGAGAAATCTCACAGAGGAAGACATAGACATGGCCAACATGCACATGAGAAAATGCTCTCCATCACTTGCCATCAGGGAAATACAAATCAAAACCACAATGAGATACCACCTCACACCAATGAGAATGGGGAAAATTAACAAGGCAGGAAACAACAAATGTTGGAGAGGATGCGGAGAAAAGGGAACCCTCCTGCACTGTTGGTGGGAATGTGAACTGGTGCAGCCACTCTGGAAAACTGTGTGGAGGTTCCTCAAAGAATTAAAAATAGACCTGCCCTACGACCCAGCAATTGCACTGTTAGGGATTTACCCCAAAGATTCAGATGCAATGAAACACCGGGACACCTGCACCCCGATGTTTCTAGCAGCAATGTCCACTATAGCCAAACTGTGGAAGGAGCCTCGGTGCCCATCGAAAGATGAATGGATAAAGAAGATGTGGTTTATGTATACAATGGAATATTACTCAGCCATTAGAAACGACAAATACCCACCATTTGCTTCAACGTGGATGGAACTGGAGGGTATTATGCTGAGTGAAGTAAGTCAATCAGAGAAGGACAAACAGTGAATGTTCTCATTCATTTGGGGAATATGAATAATAGTGAAAGGGAATATAAGGGAAGGGAGAAGAAATGTGTGGGAAATATCAGAAAGGGAGACAGAACATAAAGACTCCTAACTCTGGGAATGAACTAGGGGTGGTGGAGGGGGAGGAGGGCGGGGGGTGGGGGTGAATGGGTGACGGGCACTGAGGGGGACACTTGACGGGATGAGCACTGGGTGTTATTCTGTATGTTGGTAAATCGAACACCAATAAAAATTAATTTATTATAAAAAAAATAAAATAAAATAAAATAAAAAATAAAAAAAAAAGACCTGTGTGGCCTGCAGCCCAGCTGACAAGCAAGCTTCCCCGCAGATGCAGGCAGCGGGAGGCCGATGGGGAGCCCAGGCCTGCCCCCTGCCTCTCAGTGACGGCCACTGAGGCCTCCAACTAGAAATGGCTCTCTGTCAGGCCATCTTCCTGCCGCAGAATAGGAAAAGACCAGGCATTGCCTGGAGTAAGGGACCAGATCAGCTTACTGCCCCAAGACCTTTCCCTATATCCCTCCCAGTGGAAAAGGGGCTGGGAAATGGCACCTGAGGGGAGGTGCCCATTATTCCAGGGACCGGGGAGAGGAAGGAGAGAAGGAGGCTGAGAAGAACAGACACCAGGGCTGATGTCATGGTGGCCAGTGTGGGCCTGAAGTCAGGAGTCGCAGCAATATCAGTGGTAGCTTCCAGAAGTTGAGAAGCATCAACGAGGAAAGAGAGGCTGAGTCAAAGAAGAATCCCGGGGATGTCCGCAGAGCCAGAGGGTCACCCATGAAGATGCATTGAGGAAAACAAGGGAGATTGTCCTAGAATGTGGTGACGGAATGACAGCCCTGGGCTCACGTCTGATTTTACGGATCTGGCATATTCGGGCTGTCCGCCTTGTTTTTAAGAAATTGTGTGCACGGCATGATCGTTGGGATTTCACGTAGGGACTGAGCTTGGTGGTACGGTTTAGTTGGAAAAACTGCAGCTGACTAAAGTAGGAGTAACTAAAGTTGCAAGTAACTCAAATCATGTTTAAATGATGTATGTTTGGAAGTGTTTAAACTGTCAAAAGTTGTGCTCTGTATGCCCTCTATATTTCCTTGACACACCTCACCCAGTAAATTATCTCATTTTAGAAAAACCTCAGGTGGCTAGTAGATTTTATTCAGCCACATAACACTAACCTGATGTTTGCATTTACTGTTGTGCAAATTACAAAGGGAGAAATCTCTGAGTTTTTTAGAAAGATTTTATCTATCGATCTATTTATTTAGAGCCTGAGCAGGGGGCGGGGCAGAGGGAGAGGGAGAGAGAATCCCAAGCCGACTCCACGAGGAGTACAGAGCCTGAAGCAGGGCTCTGTCCCAGGACCCTGAGATCATGACCTGAGCCCCAATCAAGAATTGGATGCTCAACCGACTAAACCACCCGGGCACCCTGAGTTTTATAACTTCTAAGATTCTGTGTTACTAAGAAAAAACCGGAACCACTGGGGTCAATTTGATGGAGTCAGGTGCCACTGTTAGGTATTCAAGCACATGGGGGGATCTGACCTGCTGGAACATTTTGCACTCCTAGCTACATAGTCTTAGACAAATGCCTGAATGCCTCTGTCTCCTCATCAGCAAGAGAGGGACAAAATTCTGCTCTATCATCTAGGAGTCAGCTGCACGCAATAGAAAATCCCAAGTAAGATGGCTTAAACCAGAGAGAAGTCTATTCCTCCTGTGTCCAAGCTGCCCAGACCTCAGGCCCACAGCCGGTGTGGCAGTCTTCGGGGTGACGGGGGCAGCCTCCACCACGGGAAGCTCACTTTCCCGGGTTACCTCCTGGTGTAAGAGGGCTTCCAGAGGGGATCCCTGGGTGGCTCAGTGGTTTAGCACCTGCCTTTGGCCCAGGGCACAATCCTGGAGTCCCGAGATTGAGTTCCACGTCGGGCTCCCAGTGTGGAGCCTGCTTCTCCCTGCCTCTCTCTCTCTCTCTCTCTTTCTCTCTCTGTGTCTATCATAAATAAATAAATCTTTTTTTTTTTTTTTTTAAAGAGGGCTTCCAGAGCTCCAGACTCCCGCTGGTGGGGAGAGGAAAGGTCGTGGAAGGGCCTGCCCCTCCATTTAAATACAGTTGCTGGAAGTTGCATGAATCACATCTTCTGGACAGTGGGTGAGAACTTCGTCATCTGGCCACCCCTTGGCTGGGAGAGAGGCTGGGAAGTCGTCTTGCCAGATGGATGCTGGGAAATAAGCAAGACTGCGCCACAATCTGTTTCACTGGGCAACTGTGAGAATCAATGTGTTGATATATAGAAAACATGTAGAATGGTTGGTAAGCATCACACCGGGAGTGGTGGCGACAGGCGGCTGGCTCAGGGAAGTGTAAATCAAAAGAGCTGCCTCTTCAATAGTCTTTTCTATTCTTTCTTTCCTTTAAAAAAAAAAAGATTTTATTTCTTTCTTGGAGAAAGAGAGAACGAGCAGGGTATGGGGGTGCAGAGGGAGAAGCAGACCCCCCACTGAGCACACTGAGCAGGGAGCTTGATCCCAGGATCCCAAGATCATGACCTAAAGACAGATCCTTAACTGACTGAGCCACCCAGGCACCCCTTTCTTTTCTTGCTTATCCCTGATTAGACTCTGCTATTGGGCCTGGAGAGAGAGGCCAAAGGGTTGTACCTTCTTTATTCGGGACATCTAATTCACTCCGGAGTCAGGGTGGTAACTCGGGTCTTCAAGCAGAGACTACAGGACAGGCAATGGGCCCCTGCAGGAGGGGGCAGCAGGCAGGGGGGCCCAGGGCGGGGGGCCTGAGAGCACAAGCCCCGTCTCTAGTCTGCTGGGATGTGGGACTAGTAGGGCCACATCCAGTTTTCCAAAAAAGATTTTAAAAAAAATCTAGATTTTTATGTGACATCTCTTTTTTGTTCACCTTGACCATTCTTATTATGGCCACGGGCAAGCAATCAGTCCGTTAAGACCACATGAGATGAAACTAATTAGGAAAGGGGCAGGCTGGAGAAAGCAATCAGGAGCTGCGGCTGGAGGGCACATTATTGAAATGTTGGGAGGCAAGGTTGCATAGGAGGAGAGCTCGGGGTACAGCTTAGCAGGGTTGGCCTGCAGCGTGGTCCTTCCGCCTGCAGACCCTTCACAGCAGGGTAAGGAACCCAAGGAAGTGTGAGTGCTAATGGCACAAGGTCAGGATTTAAGTTTTGTCGGCATGGTGTCTGCTGGGGCGGGCTGGAGGAATGGAAAGATTACCGTTTCCCAATATTAAAAATGTTATCTATCATAGAAATACAATACAGCAGTCGAAGAAGAAGAAGAAGAAGAAGAAAAGAAGAAGAAGAAGAAAGAAAGAAAGAAGAAGAAGAAGAAGAAGAAGAAGAAGAAGAAGAAGAAGAAGAAGAAGAAGAAGAAGAAGAAGAAGAAAGAACGATCCTATTTCTGCTTTTGGTTTGAGTCTGCGAAGCTCTCAGGTTTGAGTTTTTGTTCTCTTGTCCCTGGTGAGAAATCTACACACACAGGGAGATTACCTTGCTCATTCCTTTTTTGATTGGGGGTGAATCCTTCTGTGTTCGAATGATGTTTTCCCCGGGTTGGGATGGGAAGTGCTGCCAATCAATAATAATCAACCACCAGGCACCACTAGGGTCGGGAAATTAAAGCCCTGGCGTCCCTCATGATTCCACAGCAAAGGGGTCCTGCCGGGTTCTGTTTAGGTTTTCAGAACAGATCATCACGGTAAATGGAAAGAAAATAATTGGATATTTCTCCTAAGAATAAATGAGAGGGAAAAATTTGGAATGTTAAAGTGTAAACATGTCAACACAGCCTAAGGGAAACTTTAATAGGTTTCTTCAAATCTATCAATTTCGCCAAAATGAATAGAGATAATGAACAAATTTAAAGCTCTCTCTAGCTGCTTGAAAAATGAAATGAGGGAGACTGATTTTTTTTTTAATTGGTCAAGAATACAGTCTAAAAATGTCAAGCTTGTTGCCAAGGTTATCAGGTTTTGATTTCTTGGAGTCTGTAATTAACCACAGAAAAGTGAAATAGGGATCCCTGGGTGGCGCAGCAGTTTGGTGCCTGCCTTTGGCCCAAGGCGTGATCCTGGAGACCCGGGATCGAATCCCACGTCGGGCTCCCGGTGCATGGAGCCTGCTTCTCCCTCTGCCTGTGTCTCTGCCTCTCTCTCTCTCTCTCTCTCTCTCTGTCTGTCTCTCTCTCTCTCTCTCTCTCTCTGTGTGACTATCATAAATAAATAAAAATGTTTAAAAAAGTGAAATATTAGGTTGCTTGTCTTCACAGTAGCTCTGGTTGGTTTTAGTTATTGATAGACTTTTATTCTGTGATTCTTAAGGTAAGGAAGGGCTCCTCTAAAAGAACTTTCCTGTGAGGCTCCTGTGAGTCTACAAGCTTCTAGGAATCTTCCACTGACTTTCAAAGCCACAGAGTAAGTGGGCATTAAAATGCCTGTTTCCTCCTCCATAGTCTTAGAAAAGCAGACTTTGGCAATTCTCAAAAATAGAAAAATATCACATAGGTGTAATGAACTGCATGCTCTGCAACAAATGCTTACCTTTTGGGCACAAAGACCATAATGATAAAATCATAAATCTATGATTCTGATTTGGATGAATAGAAACTACAAACATATGCTTTATTGTATGAAAAAACAATTACTATACACAAGAGTCAGTAGAAATGTCAGATATAACAATCAGACCTAAAGTTTCTGAGGGTAGATCCTAAAAGTTCTTATCACAAGAAAAAAAAATTGTAACTATGTGTGTGGTGATAGATGTTAACTAGACTTATTGTGATTATTTCACAATATATATAAATATCAAATCATTATGTTGTACACCTGAAGCTAATGTTATATGTCAATTATATCTCAATAATAATAATAGTAATAATAATAATGAGCAAGAAGAAGAGACTCAGACCTGATAAAATTAAGCTATGGCAATTATTGGATCCAAAACCAGCAAACACCTATAACAGTGTCTGTGAGATGGGGGTTATTATTTCCTTCATTGCACATGTGAGGAAGTAGAGACATGGAGAAGTTAGGTGGCTTATTCAAATTCATCCAGATTTTAAGGCAGGGAGTTTGATTCCATATTTAATGCTAAAATAAATGTGCTTAATAGTTTATAGAAATAGAAGAAAGCATAAAATGTGATGCAAACAAGGAGAGCTCAACATAGTCTAGGCTGTTTTGGAATTTAAAAAGACGAACTGCTAAAAATGAGAGAAAAGTGAAATAAAAAAACTCAATGGGCAGACTACACTGCAAATTAGACATGGCTAAAAGTAAACTAATGAGCTGGAAAGGAGCTTGGAAAGTAGGATCTTTGATGCAACACAGAGAGAAAGGGAGACCTAAAATATGAGCAAGAAGGCAAGGGACAGGGAGGATCAAGTGATTTCATTCAACAGATATTTAATAGGACCTCCTGGAGGAGATAATAGAGCAAGGGAGAGCAAATATTAAGAAATTACTGAGAAGCTTTATAGAATATATGAAAGATGTCAATTCTGCTTCAGAGAACCAAATTCTAAATGAGATGATAAGAAGAAATCCACACCTAGGGCACCTAGGTGGCTCAGTCACTTGAGCATCCAGTTCATGGTTTTGGCTTGGGTCATGATCTCTGGGTCTTAGGATTATGCTCACATCAGGCTCCAGGCTCAGAGCAGAGTCTGCCTGAGAGTCTCTCTATCCCTCTCCCTCTGCCACTCCCCCTTCTCACTCTCTCTCTCTCTTAAATAAATAAATAAAAATATTTTAAAAATTAAAATTATAAAGACAGAATCCATACCTAGACATATTGTAGCAAAGTGTCAGAACACTAAGCACAAAGGGAGAATCTCAAGGTAGTGAGAGAGTGAAAATAACATGTTACCTACACAGACCCAGACCCACTGCTGATTCACAACAACACCACCAAAGTCCAAGGAGAATGGATTAATATCTCATGACACTGAGAGAAAATGCTGTCAACCTATAGTTGTATATCCAGCAAAATGATCTCTCCTGAGTGAAGGCAAAAACTACATTTAAAGATAAATAAAAACTGAGAATATTCATTGTCAACCAAGGCTCACTACAGGAACTTCTAAAGGATCTAAATATCTAATTCAGGCAGAATGATCCCAGATGATAGGGCTACAGGGCAAGAAGGCATAGTGATGCCTTTGATGAAAATGGTAAATATGAGATTAATCTCAGCATTGCATTGACACTTTAAAACAACAATTATGTCCACTTTATGGAGTAAAAAATAAAAATAGAATGCTGGAACGTGATAAACTCTGGAAAAGGATAGTATATAAGTTGGGATAGGACAACTGGAAATAAAGTATACCTAGATCTTTGAATAGCTTGAGAGGAAGATACAGCTGTTGATTAATTCTAAATTTATTTAGTATCCATATTAAAGTTTCTGGGGATAAATAAATAAATAAATAAATAAATAAATAAATAAAGTTTCTGGGGACTCCACTAAGGAGATAGAAATTAGGTAGGGAAAAAATGGAAAAAGAGGAAAAGATCATTCAACCCAAATAAAGGTGAGGATATAAAGGCAAAATAAAACAAGAAAAAACAGGCAACTCAATAGATTTAAGCCAATCAAAACCAACAGATGATAGAAGGAAGTTCATATACACACCATTATTGTGAAAAAGATTAATCATGGAAGGGAAATGATAGAGCTCATAAGACTAATTTAAACACAAGAAAAAGGGGAAAAATGCATTATGTGCTCATGATAAGAACAGACTTAATAGAGAGAGGCATAGAAAGATGAAAGATAAAAGGATGGGAAAAATATACCAAGCCAATACAAACCAGAATAAAAGTAGGGTAGCTAGGGGACACCTGGGTGGCTCAGCAGTTGAACGTCTTCCTTCCGCTTAGGGAGTAATCCTGGAGTCCTGGGATCGAGTCCCACATCGGGCTCCCTGCATGGAACCTGCTTCTCCCTCTGCCTATGTCTCTCTCTCTTTCTCTCTCTTTCTGTCTTTCAGGGATAAATAAATAAAATCTTCAGAAAAAAGTAGGGTAGCTATATTAATATAAAACAAAATACAAAACAAACTTTACATTAAAAAGGAGATGAAACCCATCACAAAGAAATGATAAAAGTTCAATCATTCTGTAATCACAAGTGTCCTTCTGAGAAAGAGGCAGGAAGTTACAGCATTCTAAACTTGTAAGATGACACAAAAAGTTTCCCAAGAGCAAAACCAACCACCCACCCACCCAACCAACCAACAAAAGACCCTAGAAGGAGAAAGTGACAAATACAGTGCAGTGGGCAGCCATCTTTGCTAATTGAGAGAATTCCCCAAACTGGAAATGGTAATAGATCTGAACATCTCAATGGACATACACAGAATGGTATGTGCCTCGCAACTAGAGCATATACATCTTCTCCAGGCACACACAGATTGCATACTAGCCTCAACAAATTGCAGAGAACTAGGATAATATAAACCACATACTCTACCAAATGCAATTAGGTTTAGAAAAAAATTACAAAAGGTATGTTAGAAAAACCCTATATCTTTGGAATACTTAAAACATACTCCTAAACAACCCATGTGTCAAGAAGGAATCATAATTAAAATTTAAAAATACTTAGCATTAAAACTTGTTTGATATAGTTTATCCCACTTAGAGAGAAATGTACAACTTTAAGAGATTATATTACAAAAGAGGAAAGACTGAAATAAAGGAGCTAAGCCCCTTGGCCTAAGCGTTCAGCTTGAGAAATTAAAAATAGAATAAAACATCCCCAATAAAACAAAGGAAAAAATGAAAGACAACATCACATTGAACTATAGAACTCATGCGGACTCTCATAGTACCTTGAATAGCCTAGGTAAGAAGAATCAGGAAGGGAGATTTTCCTATTAAGATTAATAAAATTAAAAAAAAGATTAATAAAATATGTAGGAGTCAGGACCTATGGACTAGAGTAGACCAATGGAACAGGATAGTGAACCCCAAACAGTTGCACATCAGTGGGGAAATGGGCTCTATTCAGTACATGCTTCCGAGACCATAGGATGAAAAATAATAGATCCTCACTTCACAACATGCACAAAAATCAATGCTACGTGGATCAAGACCCTTTACTCAGAAAAGTGTCCAGTATTGGATAATAAATTACAGATGATCCTACTTCTAACCATATATTTTCCCCTCAATCTAGACTTTCAATAAGATCTTCATTCATTTAACAAATATTTTGTGTCCACTGTGTTCCTGTCCCTGTTCTAGGCATCTGGAATACAAGGTAAACTGACAAAGACCTCCACCCTGTGGGGTTTAGTCTTGTAGATAACTAACATATATGGCACTTTCAATGTATCAGGCACTTTTTTTTAAGATTTTTGTTTATTTATTCATGAAAGACACACACAGAGAGAGAGGCAGAGACACAGGCAGAGGGAAAAGCAGGCTCCACGCAGGGAGCTGGACATGGCTCTCGATCCCAGGACTCCAGGATCACACCCCGGGCCAAAGGCAGACGCTAAACCACTGAGCCACCCAGGGATCCCCTATCAGGCACTTTCTAAGCCTGATGTTAGCTCATGTAATGCTTGATGTTAGCTCACAAAATCCTTGGCAGATGCTATTATTATTTTAAGTGGCAAAGCTAGGACTTTATTTTTTTAAAGATTTTATTTATTCATGAAAGATAAACAGAGAGAGGCAGAGACATAGGCAGAGGGAGAAGCAGGCTCCTCGAGGGGAGCCCGATGTGGGACTTGATCCCAGGACCCCAGGATCATGCCCTGAG